CTTAGTCACGTGTATCACTGCCACCCGGGCTTTAGTGGGTGCCCCGCCCCATCCTGCACTCGCTACCGCTGGTCATATTTTGTTTTATTAAAATCTATATACCATTTTTAAACTCAAATTAAGTCAATGGTAGGAAGCTAAAAGTAAATAAAATCCAACTGGCACTACATGGTCAGGAAAGGCCTCCACAAATGTGTTTTCTTCAAGTACTGAAATTGCATTTGGAGCCCAGGCAGTTCCACAGGAAGGCAGTGGTTCTCAAAAAAAGTTCTCTGGGCCACACTTTTGGAATAAAAATTGGCTCACACCACACCAAATTTTTAATTGATAAAAAATATTTGGAAAACAAAAAGAAACAACTCCTAGCAGCCCTTGATTTATAGCATAAAACACAACTACTTAAAATATCATCACAGGGCATCCGGAAAGTATAAAATAATGCAGCTACATAACAACATGAATCCTTCATGAACTATAATATTGGATTGTTCTTGAATCTTCCTGCCACATCCTTTGAGAAGCACTGCAGCGAACCTCTGCAGGTTGCAGCATTGCCAGGTTGGCCTCATCCGACGATCTTGGTGGGGTGAGAGGCACTTTGTCTGGTAAGCTTGATCCCCAGTGCATTGTGTGCACCAACACAGGCAGATTACAAAGAGGCCCCCTTGGCTCTGTGGGACAGCACAGATTCCACAAGCCCAAGGACCAGGTCTTCTCGCCACTAGCTCTCCATCAGGCCAAGCACAAGATTGTGGTCCAAAGCAGATGAAATGTTTACGTACCATGAGAAAAGCCGCAATGGGCAATCACAGGAGTTGTTTAGTCTGTTCTGTTTTTGTACAGCCCTCTCATCCTTCCCATAACAGCCCTGTGATGGGGTCAGCTGAGAGAAGGCACATTGCCAAAGGTGAGGGAGCTCCATGGCTGAGCGGTACCATCCTGGCTCTTCGTGATGTTATGGTGGGCTGGCTCTCTTTGCTGAAGCCACCCGCACCCCTTCTCAGTCTTCCCATGTGTCTCCCCACGCCTCTTGTCACACCAAGCCACTTTGGGAACCTCACGTGGGGCGTTGGGGTCTGCTGAATCGCCCTTTCCCCATAATCTGGCAACAAAGTTCTCACACTAATACAAATTGGCGTGAAGACTTTGTTATTATTGATTAAAGCCGTAGTTCAAGGCAGGGCTTAAAGTAGCGGTATGGATTTTTAGAAATCCATAAGTCATGTCTACTAATAGCAACAAAACAAGCTTGCCAAACAGCTAAAGACAATTAGTGACATTTTGCTGTGCAAGTGACCAATTGGCTTAAATAATACCTCCTCACTTGCCAAGGCTGCTTTTTCCTCTCCCCTCCTTAGTCTGAACGTGTGTTTTCTGTGTTTTGATCTTCTGTAGGTCTATTAAAAGTCCACTGTGGAACTGCTGTTGACATCCATATATAGAATTAGCACGTTCAAGTTATAAATGGATCTGATTGTGTGTGTGTGTAGAAATTGACCAGAGGCAGGAGGATATCCTCAGTTTTAAATGTGTTTGTGGGAGGGGGGCTATTGTTTTGTTGTTTTTGTTTTAATTATTTGTTTTTTTTTCCTCTTGTGAACTGTCCTGAGATCTTCTAATGAAGGGCAGTATATAAATCACAAATCAATCATACAATCATAGCCTTAAATCCCAACCCTAGGATAATTATTGTTAATTTATCAGAGTGAGAGTTGGCTTAAATGGACCTTCCATAGAAGCAACCTACAGGCGTGCTAGGGTTACAGAGATTAAAAGCTTGAAGTATGGGGTTCACCAACAAGCACTGGGGCTCAAGACAGGAAACTGAGTGGATCAGGAGTTGGTCTTTCATTCCCCCCCCCCCAGGGCCCACCTCAAGGGACTGGTCAAAGGGAAGGACATCGGCTAAGCCTAGGTGGAAAGGGGTGGATCCACAAGGGTCATCTAGTTCCAACCCCCTACAGTGCATGAATCTTTAAGCCCAGTGTAGGGTTCAAACCCCACAACCCAGAGAATTAAGAGTCTCTGCTCTTACTGGACTGAGCTATCTATGTTTATAGAACACTGCTGGAACAGCCTAGAATCCTCTTGATCTGGAGAGTCAGGTGACAAGCAAGGAGCCAATCAGATGCCAGTCCCTGATACAGAGCTTCTGGATTTGCCGCGTTCCTCTCTCAAAACTATCCGTATAGTTGAGGGAGGACACCAGGTTTATTAATTTATTAAAACATTTCTATCCCATAGCTGAAAGTGATTTCAAACAGACAGACAAGTTCAAAAGCCTGGTACAAGAAGTGTGAAAATAAAATGAAGAGGTAGTTCTCTTAACCTCTTTAGGGAGAAGGTTCTAGAGCTTGGGAATGATCAGTGAAAGTCATTCTCTTGGATCTCCCTGTCTGGACCCGTCACAAGGACAGAACAGTTAGTAGAGATGGTCCTTGAGGAAGGAAGATCTCAGGCTATGCAAGGCTTTAAATCAAACTGGGCATGGGAACCAATTGGTGACCAGTGTAACTGGCACAGAACAGGTTGAGCGTGCCCTTGACACACAACACTTGTTAGGGGATGCACAATAGCATTCTGCTCCAGTTGGAGTTTCAGTGTTACCATCCAGGGCAGCCGCATCTAGTGTACATTGCAGTTGTCAAACTAGGATTGGATTAGAGAAGAGGTAATGGATTACTGAAGCAAGGTCTGATCTGTCTAACCCAGGGGTGGAGTTGGGACATTAGCTCAAGATGGGAAACTATGCTCTTAAGAACAACTCTAAGCTGCTTCTTCAGAAGCAGTTCTGAGTCCAGGAATACATCCAGATGTTCAGATATGGTCACAGGGACCCCATAAATCACCGGCAGGCTAATGACCTCCAGATCATACCCTACTAGTCACTAGAAGAGTGACTAGTGGGGTGCCACAGGGTTCTGTCTTGGGCCCGGTCTTATTCAACATCTTTATCAACGACTTGGATGATGGGCTCAAGGGCATCCTAATCAAATTTGCAGATGACACCAAACTGGGAGGGGTGGCTAACACCCCAGAGGACAGGATCACACTTCAAAACGACCTTGACAGATTAGAGAACTGGGCCAAAACAAACAAGATGAACTTTAACAGGGAGAAATGTAAAGTATTGCACTTGGGCAAAAAAAAATGAGAGGCACAAATACAAGATGGGGGACACCTGGCTTGAGAGCAGTACATGTGAAAAGGATCTAGGAGTCTTGGTTGACCACAAACTTGACATGAGCCAACAGTGTGACGCGGCAGCTAAAAAAGCCAATGCAATTCTGGGCTGCATCAGTAGGAGTATAGCATCTAGATCAAGGGAAGTAATAGTGCCAAAGTATTCTGCTCTGGTCAGACCTCACCTGGAGTACTGTGTCCAGTTCTGGGCACCACAGTTCAAGAAGGACACTGACAAACTGGAACGTGTCCAGAGGAGGGCAACCAAAATGGTCAAAGGCCTGGAAACGATGCCTTATGAGGAACGGCTAAGGGAGCTGGGCATGTTTAGCCTGGAGAAGAGGAGGTTAAGGGGTGATATGATAGCCATGTTCAAATATATAAAAGGATGTCACATAGAGGAGGGAGAAAGGTTGTTTTCTGCTGCTCCAGAGAAGCGGACACGGAGCAATGGATCCAAACTACAAGAAAGAAGATTCCACCTAAACATTAGGAAGAACTTCCTGACAGTAAGAGCTGTTCGACAGTGGAATTTGCTGCCAAGGAGTGTGGTGGAGTCTCCTTCTTTGGAGGTCTTTAAGCAGAGGCTTGACAACCATATGTCAGGAGTGCTATGATGGCGTTTCCTGCTTGGCAGGGGGTTGGACTCGATGGCCCTTGTGGTCTCTTCCAACTCTATGATTCTATACCTGTATTGCCTCTGTGCTAGTCTTTGATTCACCTGTTAAAGGTATTTGCCCACCTGTGGACTCCAGATATGGACTGGTGACCATTGAAGGACTTGAGCCAGGGGGAGTGAATTAGCTTTTGGGAGATTGTGGGTGAAGCGAGTCTGCTGGAAAACAAAGCCGTGAGCCTCACAGAACAGACAAGGAGAGGCAAGGGGTCATCGTGATGGGATGGTAGTCAACTTTTCAACATTTTCCAGGGATCTGGCTCTGGTTGAAGCTCTCCTGTGAGATGTGCCTTTTGTCCCTTTGTTAAGCTGGTGATTGGACTGTCACCCAAAAGGGACACTGAGCCCAGAGCATCTGGGTCCTGATGTGGAGCTCACTAAACACTGTGCCTCATGCCTTTGCAGGAGAAGAGTCCCTGACCATTTTTGTGGACAAGCGCAAGCTCAGTCGGAAAGCGGAAGCTGGCGGCCTGGCAGGAAGTGGTGGGAGCAATGCCACAGTCTCCTTGGAAACCCTGCACCAGCTGGCAGCCTCGTACTTCATTGACCGAGAGAGCACTCTGCGGCGCCTCCATCACATCCAGATAGCAACAGCTGCCATCAAGGTAACCCTGGAGGCGAGCCAAAAGGCAGGGGGATGTTCCATAGCACATGAAGCCATTGGCTTCCAAGGCATCTCTGTGTAGAGCATGTTGCTGCAATCTAGGCCTTGATTGGCTCACCACCTCAGCATCAGGGGGGAAAGAGAGAGAGCAGAATAGGCCACAGATTTGCATAAAACGTGCATGTGCTAATTTATATGTGAAGGTGTAAATTTAGCAGTGATAACTATGATGCAGTGCCCCCTATGCAGCTGCCCAATTCATCTGATTCTTCCTCTTCTATAATAATAATTTAATAATATTTTTAAAATTTCTATCCCGCCCATCTTGCTGGGTTTCCCCAGCCACTGAGGGCGGCTTACAACAAATAAAAAACCCCACAACAAAGCATCAAATATTAAAAAACAAAATATCCTATACAAGCAACAAACAAACCAATAAATCAATAGAAACCCATAATAACAATAATAAACAGTTCACAGTTATACCCAAATTAAAATAACCGCCAACCCCATCTAAGCATTTAACCAACATCAACCCCACAAAAACAAAACAGAGGAACCAACATTAGAAACATTTTAAAACATCTTTGAAACAGGGAGGAGATTGCCCAGGTTAAGGTTCCACATGAACAGGGCTCTGCTGTTACTGGGAATGAGTGGGAGGGGCCCATGTTTGCTCCTCCCCTTCATGCACACCATCTTGGACTGGTCTTGCTTGAGAAGTTTTGGCTAAACTTAGGACTTGTAACAGGGGTGATTTGCGGGGAGCAAAATTTTGCATTTGAGGGGGTTTGTTATGGGCGGCAGCCGCTGTGGCCAAAAATGGTGGTGGCACTGGCTCTTGTCCCAGGGCTCACTGCCTGTCATTTCTCAGAATGAAACTCAATCATGAGGTAGTTTGGTTCCTGGGGAGTGGGGGAGATGGCAACTCTTGCTGTTAAATGCAGGGGGGCTTGTGCGGTAGCCATCATTCCTCCTCCACACCCCAAATGCTCTGCTGGGAGGCCACTGCAGAGGAGGTCTGAGGAAAAGAAGGAAAAGAAACTGCACAGCTAATAATAATAATAATAATAATAATAATAATAATAATAATAATAATTTATTTATACCCCACCCATCTGGCTGGGTTTCCCCAGCCACTCTGGTTGGCTTCCAACAAAATATTAAAATACAATAGTCCATCAAACATTAAAAGCTTTCCTAAACAGGGCTGCCTTCAGAGGTCTTCACACAACCGATCACTGAAAAATTGCCTTTCTGTCCTATTTTTGCTGCTTGAAATTGGAACTGCAGGTTGGGGGGTGTGTGTGTTTGTTTGTGTGGGGGTGGGGTGGTGGGCGGAGAGTATTGCATTCCAAGATATGAGTATGGACTCATAGAGAGGAGGTTTGGCACTGGTTATTACTTATATCACAGTAAACACAGTATACAGAATGTCCTTTTTGTTGTTGTTGAGGGTGGTTTATTGTGCGTGGGATAAGCAAGATACATACCACAAGGGACCCTTGGAGGATTCACAGAAAAACCATCTCACGCTTTTGAAGGATCCACATCCATCAGGACACGTCGTCTTGTATGAGGGATGGGGCAGGTTTTGTTCTTGCTGTGAAATTGTCCCCATTAAACGGAGGAAAGTGATGGGGTTGTAGGTGCTAAGCACACCGCCCGCCCCTGTTGATCCCAGGTATAGAGGAGCATTCAAGCCTGCTCCTTTCTATGTCGTCCCATTCCAGATTTGGTTCCTTGGTCGCATGACAGTGTGGCAGGATATTGGAAAATGGGAGGTATCCTACATCCTAATCATTAAGTTGTTCTTTGAGTGCGGATCGTTATGTAACCAAAATGGCACCATCTTCCTATGAGATGGAGAGATCAGCAGGGCTTGCAGATGTGCAAAACATATGGGGGGGGAGCCCAAAGGGCAGGGGTCAGCAGTTGTTTGACCCTGCCTCACACAAGACTGCACCCCAGAGCCAAAGTCAAGAAATCCCTTTCCCAGCCCCACTAACTGATTTTCTTTTCCTTTTTTGGGGGGGGGGCAGGATTCCAATCCCCCAGCTCCCTCCAACAATGTACTGCAACAGTCAGACTCAGCACCAGAAAAGACGCTTGTTTTCCTGTTCCATTTCATTTTGTGCAACAACTCTGCTTTTATTCCCACCCCCCTTAGCCACTCTCCCCCTGCCTGCCTGCCTACCTGCCTGCCTGCCCACCCGCCCCATCGCATATGCCTGGATTTTAATTTGCAGGTTGCTTAAGCAAGGCTGCCATCCCTGAGATCTGCTACCCAGCTCTGCAATTATAAACCTATCGCTTTAGTCAGCCTTCTCCTCTCCCATTCCGCTCCCCCCCCCCGCCAAGGAAACAGGAGGGGCAGCAAGCAGGGAGTCAGACCACAATTGGCGCCTTTGTGCTATTTGTGGGAAATCGGCCATGCTAATGATGGTGAGCTTTCATGGGGGGGGGGCCGTGGCTAGAGGCAGGGCTGTTCTCCATCAGCAGGCCAATTACTGCACAATTATTCCTCCTTTTTAGAAGCAAAGTGGCCTCTTGCATTCTCATAAGCCTGGAGTGCTTGGCTCAAGTTTTACTGTTTCAACGCTCGCTCGCTCTCTCTCTCTCTCTCTCTCTCTGTTTTGTCGCATTTAATGTCACTTTGGTTGGATTTCTGTGTTTATACACCCACCCACAGTTTGAGGATGTTGAGTGAGGGTAATTCAGTGTAAACAGGGCCAGCTCATGAGGTTTCAATGTCCAGTGTAGAAAACCCAAATGTCCCTCCCCCCCTCCCCCGCTAGTTGAACATGGGTCCCATCCACCAGCAATGTTTTGCCTGCGAGGCTCAATTGAAACAAACATGAGATGTGCAAGAATCCACACTCTTCCTGTGCTTCTCCCATTCATTTTGATGAGACGTGCACAGGAGACAATCCTGGTGGATTGTGCCCAGTGGCACATATCTCTGTCTCTCACTCTGCTGGCCTTAACGGCACACAAAATCTGCTTCCATGCTTTGTCGTAGGACCGCTTCTGTGTGCAAAATGGCTCAAACCATACGAAACTCAAACCATACAAAAATGCAAATCAATGTATACAAGCAATTATGCCTGGCTTAACCCCAGCTCCCGGCAAGCCAGCCTAAATAGTAGTTTCAAAATATCCCTGGCTAAGCTTCTAAAGATTGCATGATTTCCCTCCATCTGGAGCTTAAGTCTTGTGCACGTGGAGATACACACTTTCGCCTTCTTGGAACGTGTTTCTATCTCTGCCTCTCTGTTCACCCCATTGTTTGTGGCTTTAGAGATGACTACTAAAATGTGAGGTGGCTAGGCTGAAGTCACGCTAACGCTCATAGTTAACACACACACACACACACACTTTCTTGGAGGACTTGAATGGAGGGTTTTTGTTTAAGGACCAAAACAAATGCAGTTGTGAGGAGGGGGTGGTGTGAATGTGAGCAGAGCAATAGAGGATCTTGAAAATACATGGGGTATTTCTCCACTGGGAGAAAACCAGCCTTTTGGGAGGGTGAGGGTCGAAGAGAACATTGGGAAAGGGCTCCACTTTCCAGGTAGAATGGTAGAATTGTAGAGTTGGAAGAGACTATGAGGATTGTCTAGTCCAGCTCCTTCAGCAGCTGTCCCATATGGGTATCGAACCTGCAACCTTGGCGTTACTAGCACCAAATTCTGTCATCAAAACATATGCACACAATTCAATCTAATGTTCAGAGCAGGTATGTTAAGGATGGGCAAAGGTCCTTTTATCTTTGCATTTCAGTTGTTTATGGTAAAGCTGCCTTCTTCCATTGCTTAGGTCACTGAAACCAGAACGGGGCCACTTGGCTGCAGTAACTACGACAACCTGGATTCTGTGAGCTCTGTTCTTGTCCAGAGCCCTGAGAACAAAGTTCAACTTCTCGGTAAGGATTTTTCTCCTTCTACCTGCCTGGAATTGCATCCACATTATCCACTGGACACTAACTGGACTCATCTTCTAACTTGCTCACAAAGTGGAAATAGCAATCCTAAGTTAAAATGCATTGGTCTTGGTGTGTTGCTTGCTCCTGGCTCACAATCTTCACCTCCTTTCCATGGTAGAAGGCCTCAGAACGGGAACGGAGTTAGATCACTCTGCACCCTGAGTTGAAGGCTTAAGCCCAGCTGCCATGGCTGGAACTGTTTCCTGGCCCAAGGCAGATTCTGCATAGGGATCCCTTCATTTATATCTGTAACTTACCTTCAGCTCTGATCACATCCAAAATCAATCAGAGGATGCGCCTTTAAGTCATGGATCATGCAATCTTGCAGGCCTGCTGACCACCTGGGTGAGTCATATGACTGCACCACATACACAGAAACAAAGTTATTTGAATGTGTGTGTTCTTTCATTGAAGAGCACACAGTGCTTCTGTATGTTACAGGGGTAAATTGGGGTTAAATGCTGAAGATTCTGCATATTTTTATGAAGATGTGGAGAAAATCCATAATCAATAAGAATCAACAAGAAGTTTGGAATATCATCCATTCAGTGCTTTTTAAAAACAAAGAAGAAGAAGAAAAAGAGTTTGGATTTGATATCCCGCCTTTCACTCCCCTTCAGGAGTCTCAAAGCGGCTCACAATCTCCTTTCCCCTCCTCCCCCACAACAAACACTCTGTGAGGTGAGTGGGGCTGAGAGACTTCAAAGAAGTGTGACTGGCCCAAGGGTCACCCAGCAGCTGCATGTGGAGGAGCGGAGACGCGAACCCGGTTCCCCAGATTACGAGACTACCACTCTTAACCACTACGCCACACTGGCTCTCTAATGCAGTGTTTCCCAACCTTTTTTGGGCAAAGGCACACTTGTTTCATGAAAAAAATCTCGAGGCACACCACCATTAGAAAATGTTTAAAAAATTAACTCTGTGCCTATATTGACTATATATAAAGTAACTCTCTTTAATAGGAATCAAATAAACACAAAGATAGTATTTTATAATTACAGTGGTGCCTCGCAAGACGAAATTAATTCGTTCCGCAAGTCTCTTCGTCTTGCGAGTTTTTCGTCTTGCGATGCACGGTTTCCCATAGGAATGCATTGAAAATCAATTAATGCGTTCCTAGGGAAACCGCCTTCAGACCAGGTCCGGCGCGTCTCTTCTCTGTCATGGAGCGCGACGCCAAGGCCCCTCGGCCCGAGCCCCGCTTCGAGGCCAACTTGGCCTCGACCCTCAAGACGCTGCTCTTCTTCACCACGCTGATGATCCTGCTGCCCATCGGGCTCTACTTCTTCTCCAAGTCATCCCCCCCCATTCCAGCAGCCTTTGTCGTTTTTAAATTGCCGCTCTGCCTTCTAGTCACAGGAGAGAATGGTGAGGTTTCTCAGTGCAAATCTTCAGATTCCAGCAGTGAGGAGGAGGCCAACGTGGGGAAGAAGAAGCCACGTAGGCAGAGGACTCATTTCACTAGCCAGCAACTCCAGGAGCTGGAGGCCACTTTTCAACGGAATCGCTACCCAGACATGACCACCAGGGAGGAGATTGCAGGCTGGACCAATCTGACGGAGCCCAGGATCAGGGTTTGGTTTAAGAATCGCAGAGCCAAGTGGCGGAAAAAGGAGCGTCACCAGCAGACAGAGCTCTGTAAAGGGCCGTTCAGCTCCCAGCTCAACGTCTTGACAAGGAACCCATATGAGGACCTTTACCCAACCTACGCCTACAGTACCTGGGCTCCCAAGGGGCTGCATGCCAACCCCATCCATAGCAAAGGGTTCCAGCTCTTCAACTCCGTGAACATCAATTCCTTTCCACCCCAAGGTGTGTTCCCAGCAGCTTCAGCAGCCTCCACATCTGGTGTCCCATCTCTGGAAACCTTCAACAGCCTGGCAAGCCCTTCTGGGCCTCCCAGTTCACCGTATGGACCGAGTGCCTCACAGTTCTTCTGAAGGCTGGGGGGGGGGGGACAAGGGCTTTTCTTCCCACCCCCAGCATTTTAAAAAAATCCCGGGACAGCGGAGGACGTCTCCGCTATCCGGGGCGATCTTAAAATGCTGACGGGCGGCATTTTAAAATCGCCCGGGACAGCGGAGGACTTCTCCGCTGTCCGGGGCGATTTAAAAGCCCCTGGGAAGGCAGGCAGGGGGGACAAAGACTTTCACCCCCGCCAGCCTTCAGAAGAGGTCCTGGACCTCTTCTGAAGGCTGGCGGGGGGCGAAAGTCTTTGCTCCCCCCCCGCCTGCCTTCAAAAGCCCTCCGGGACAGCGGAGAAACGCAGCGCGTTTCTCCGCTCTCCCGGGAAGGCAGGCAGGGGGGAGCAAAGACTTTTGCCCCCCGCTGGCCTTCAGAAGAGGTCCTGGACCTCTTCTGAAGGCTGGCGGGGGCGAAAGTCTTTGCTCCCCCTGCCTGCCTTCAAAAGCTGACCGGCCCAGGCTTCGCGGACCTCTCCGCAAGCAGCGGCAGCACTGGTGCCAGCATGCCGAAGCCTGGGCGCGCCGAGATCAGCGCGCCCAGGCTTCCCGCCCCGCCGCCCGGGATCGGGGCATCGTCCCGATGGCGGGCAGCGGGGGGAGGCGTTCCCCCCGCCGCCCGGGATCGGGGCATCGTCCCGATGGCGGGCGGCGGGGGGAGGCGTTCCCCCCCGCCGCCCGGGATCGGGGCATCGTCCCGATGGCGGGCGGCGGGGGGAGGCGTTCCCGCCCCACCGCCCGGGATCGGGGCATCGTCCCGATGGCGGGCGGCGGGGGGAGGCGTTCCCCCCCGCCGCCCGGGATCGGGGCATAGTCCCGATGGCGGGCGGCGGGGGGAGGCGTCCCTGCCCCACCGCCCGGGATCGGGGCATCGTCCCGATGGCGGGCGGCGGCGGAGGCGTCCCCCCCCCGCCGCCCGGGATCGGGGCATCGTCCCGATGGCGGGCGGCGGCGGCGGCGTTCCCCCCCCGCCGCCCGGGATCGGGGCATCGTCCCGATGGCGGGCGGCGGGGGGAGGCGTCCCCCCCTGCCGCCCGGGATTGGGGCATCGCGCGCGGAGCCTGGCTCGGGTCGCCAATGCTGCGGGCGGACATGGCGAGCTGGGCGGGACTCGGGCGCGCGCTGGGCGCCTGCTGCCTCCTGGGCCTCTTCTGCAGCGCTGCGCTGCCCTTCTCGCTGCAGGGCGCGAACGAGAAAGCGCCCGCCTCCCTCCCACGGCACACCAGGTAACGTCTCGCGGCACACTAGTGTGCCGCGGAACACCGGTTGGGAAACACTGCTCTAATGGATGCTATAGAATCATGGACCAAAGACATGAAGTCCATCGTGTTGTTAATATGTGTTGCCTCCAGTAAATTTTGTATATTGCCCATGTAATATTCTGCCAGGCAACTGGGCTAGTTTTGTCTACTCTTGCTGAAGATAGCATATTCAGACAGAGGTCATGCCCAGAACTTCTCCCTGAGGTCTATTTTAGCCAGAGAAGCTGGAGCTTGCCTGCCCCTGGGACCATCTGCTGCTCTACTGTGGAAGTCAGAGTCCTCACTTGGTTCACCATCTTTTGATGTGTGCACAATCACCAGGGCTTGTCCTCAGTCTCCAGCCAACTCACTTTAAGCATGTGCAGGTGTGGGACTTTTCAGTATACGCACAAACAGATAAAACTCACAAATCAATGGAGTTATGTTCTTTTGCAACATCTAAAGGGCAGATACCATGAAAGAAGCCATTGTTCTATAGGGTGTTCCATAGGTCGAAAAAAATCTGCTAGGGAAGTGAGTGTAGCTCTTCGGTTTCCATACGGGGTGCCAACTTGAATAAAATATTGTGGGGGCCCAGCTAAGCCCCGCCCCACGTCATCAATCACATGATGCGGTGCAAGCACACCATTTGAATGGCAGTGCCCATCACCTTTGGGAGGGCCCTTCAAATATTTTATTGGGGGGTCAACACCCCCTCGGCCCCTAGGAGGTGGCTCCTAAGTTTCCATAGTAACTGTTTTTCCTTAATGCAGATATGGCTGAGCTGAGGCCTGTAATGTCTCTGCCTACTTTTCACAGGCCTGCAAGCCCTGCTGCCCGAGTACTTGCGTGAACGCTTTGTGGCTGCTGCCTTGAGCTACATCACCTGCAATTCGGAGGGGGAGCTGATATGCCGAGAGAATGACTGCTGGTGTTACTGTGGGTTCGGTTTCCCACAATGCAACTGCCCCGAGGCTGACATCCAGGCTATGGAACAGAGCCTTTTTCAGATCCAGGGAGTTTGGGAGAACCACAACCAACAGTTTCGGGAATCAGGTGAGTTTGGGAAACATGGGTCTCATGGGGAACGTGACGATGGGTGGATGATTGCCCACATCCAGTTGACTCAGCAAGGAAGGAGGATGACAGGTGACTGAGGCAAGGAGCCATTCACTGTTGCACCTCTCTTGTGAACAGCCTGGCAGAGAATGCAGATGAGCCAGAAGACGAAGCAAGCGGTGAAGGCAGGTCTTGTGAGATGCCAGCCACTGCAACAACCACAAGAAGGGCAGGCACATTTACTCAGTGAACCAGAGGAGACTAGGAAAATGTGGGGAGGCAAGATTGGCTGAGTGTGTGGTGATGGAGCTCAGCTTGAAGATAAACGTCTGGAAAGGGAGAAAGACAGCAGGATGAACTGGAAGCAATTTTGGGAACTTCCTTTAAACTTGGTTGGAAACCAGAACCTATAGTTTGTAAAAAGAGCCAGCTAGGAAGTGCTTGACCATTGATGGTTATTGACATCTGGCGGTCGACCAGCTGAACCTGAGGGAGAGTGGCAGTTCTGGGGCTCTGAGGGCTTCCTTAAGTAAATTAGCAGCAGTGGCTTTTCCTAAATTTTTATGTTAGAAGAAGGTAGACACAGCATTTTTTTTAGAGTCGTGGGGCTAATTCAAATGTGTCATCAATGTGTTCAATACAAATAGATCTTTTCCTGTCCCCAGGTTAATTCTGCGTATTTCCAGCATGGTCAGTTAGGAAAAACAAAATGTTCACGATCATACTACAAGTAACAGCTGCTGAGAACAGCTTAAACATATAACCACTAAATCAGTGTATTATAAAACCAAAAACAAATTGATCAGAAGATAAGTATGAACCTTATCAAGGCAAATAAATAGATAAATACACATGCAAAGCAATTATTTTAATAATAGCTGAAGAAGAAGAAGAAGACGACTCATCTGCTGATAGAATTTTCAGTAAAAAAAAGTGCTTTAAAGGTTGTTGAAATCATGAAGAAAATCTGTGGGGGAAACACTATTGGCTGACAGGAGTGTCTCATCACCCCCTTTGTTCCCGCAGCTACTGCTGAATGTTTGAAGCTATTCTGTTGGATTTTTAGTCCCACCCCCCACCCCCGGTCCTTTCATAGCTCTCATGTCACCTGTTAGGCTCTTAGGTGAGCAAATTGGAGAAAGATGGTGACTGTGCCTCCAGCTGCTGTTACTCATTGGGCTTTCTCCAGTTTTTCCTGACAAATCTGCTATCACTTTGTGTGGAGCACAAAAGTCTTTTTTGTGTGCTTTTCAGCAGGCTTTGGGAGGCTGAGAAGTTTTCAGCCCTTATTTTGGTGGGAGATATGGAGGGGGCCAGTAGTGATGTATGGAAGTGAGAGCTGGACCATCAAGAAGGCTGATCGCCGAAGAATTGATGCTTTTGAATTGTGGTGCTGGAGGAGACTCGAGAGTCCCATGGACTGCAAGAAGATCAAACCTCTCCATTCTGAAGGAAATCAGCCCTGAGTGCTCACTGGAAGGACAGATCCTGAAGCTGAGGCTCCAATACTTTGGCCACCTCATGAGAAGAGAAGACTCCCTGGAAAAGACCCTGATGTTGGGAAAGATGGAGGGCATAAGGAGAAGGGGACGACAGAGGACGAGATGGTTGGACAGTGTTCTCAAAGCTACCAGCATGAGTTTGACCAAATTGCAGTAGAAGACAGGAGTGCCTGGCGTGCTCTGGTCCATGGGGTCACAAAGAGTCGGACACGACTAAACGACTAAACAACAAATGAAGGGGGCACCAAGGAAGCCCTTCTTCACCCCACCACTAA